TTTAAACAGATCATTATTTTACCGTATAAAAATGAGATTTATTTTTAGGGTAAAGTATAGTAATGGTCACTGAACATTTCTGAAGCTTGCATTTAGGTCCCCCAACTTTTAAAACTTACAATACAGTCCCCAAACATTTATTCCGTTTGCAATATGGTCCCCCAACTTAAACCCCCGTTAGAAAATTAGGGTAAATTATATAAACGGTCATTAAACTTTTCAAGCACTTGAATTTAGGTCCCCCAACTTTTAAAACTTGCAAAATAGTCCTCAATTTCATTCTAAACCCCAATTTCCAAAGTAATTCAATTTTATTCTAAACCCTAAATTCCAAAATAATTCAATTAAATTCTAAACCTCAAATTCTAAAATACTTTAATTTAAGGTTTAGAAAATAAATTTATTAATTATTTCAAATAAACACATATTGATATAATATATAATTTATAAAAATTCAGAATATTATTTTACCATGTCATATTGAACCTAGATCCACCTATTTATAATAACATTTCAATAGAAAGACGTTTCAAATATTTTAAAAATATATTATTTTTTACTAAACACGTGACTTTATGGAATTATGAAAGTGGCGTTGTCTTGATGTAATAATTTTTGTCAATGCGTTAAGTGAGTTTGTAAAACATTTGACAGAAAAATATAATTGCATGCATACATCAGAACTACGCTTGTAGACCTGCTAGTAGGAAAACCTTTGCCAGTAAGATAACGGTCAAAATAAATACCGGAAAGAAATAAAGTTCTCAATTCATACATCCATGTAAATTTATTTGAAAAATAGGAGAACCAATGACCAAGAAGCTAATTTCAAGGGGGGAGATCAACAAATTACACATGCATTAAACATTTTGAATACATAGCCTCAGCTGTAGATTATGCATTGAAGCTTGAACAAAATAGAATGTCAAATGCCAGAGGAATATGTAAAGGAGCACAACACTTCCATGAATTTAACTATGATTAAAGACTATTGAAATCCCTTAGCTTCTCATCTCCAAGAAGGGTCAGCACTATGATATGACAAACTATGGTAAATGTAGAAAATAATGTGAATTATGATTCATAGCTTCGTACCTCTACCAAAGGAGCATCACACTGTTCAGGTTCCATAGGTATTTATAGCAATTTGATTCTCATTAAATCATAAATGTACAGAAAATAGTGCGTGTCTTCTCTAGCATATCTATCATCACAAAACATATAATAAAAGCAAAGCAATTAGGAGACATAAAACAATGAAAGCATAAGTCAACAAATTGGTAGGTATCCGACACAAATTTTCACTTCAATTCAGGCAAGTAATTCATGTATATCTAATTGCACTCAAAACTATGCCTAAGCATTTCCATAAAGACAATGGCATTTAAAGTACAGTAATTAGGCTCTTTAATATGCAGTAAGCAGTAAAATTCCCAAGCCTATAATATATTTAACATCTTCAATGAGTCCAATGAGATTAGCATCTTCTTAATCATCCAAAATTTGTGTTATTATACCACAAGTCCAGAGTTGTCATGTATAGTCTGAGATACCAATTTCCTTCCCCCTAATTTATTGATAAGTGCTAATAACCCCAATAAATAGCTTCATAGAAACACTAAGAGTTTAACAGAAAATTATCAAATTAAATCCTCAAGTTCAGAGAAGTGACAAGTTGACAATACAAACCTGTCCAGTGTCAAAGAGATTGCATATATATATATGCCAAAGTCCAGCTGAAGCCACACAATATCCCGGTCTACTCCATGCATAACCTATGTGAATTAAGGATGTCAAAAGAATGCAGGAGGACAAATAAAAAAAAAAGTTGCAGCCATCAAAGAGGCCAACCTTGTCACGTGTTTATATTTTTCTGTCAAATGTTTTACAAACTCACTTAACGCATTGACAAAAATTATTCCATCATGACAACGCCACTTTCTTAATTCCATAAAGTCACGTGTTTAGTAAAAAATAATATATATTTTTAAAATATTTTGAAACGTCTTTCTATTGAAATGTTATTATAAATAGGTGGATCTAGGTTCAATATGACCTGGTAAAATAATATTCTGAATTTTTATAAATTATATATTATATCAATATGTGTTTATTTGAAATAATTAATAAATTTATTTTCTAAACCTTAAATTGAAGTATTTTAGAATTTGAGGTTTAGAATTTAATTGAATTATTTTGGAATTTAGGGTTTAGAATAAAATTGAATTACTTTGGAAATTGGGGTTTAGAATGAAATTGAGGACTGTTTTGCAAGTTTTAAAAGTTGGGGGACCTAAATTCATGTGCCTGAAAAGTTCAATGACCGTTTATATAATTTACCCTAATTTTCTAACGGTGGTTTAAGTTGGGGGACCATATTGCAAACGGAAAAAATGTTTAGGGACTGTATTGTAAGTTTTAAAAGTTGGGAGACCTAAATGCAAGCTTCAGAAATGTTCAGTGACCATTACTATACTTTACCCTTATTTTATATATATTTGTGTAAGGTTTAAAAATTAGATTGAGTTTTGAGTTGGATGGAACTTTCTTAAAATCCGAGCAGGTTGGGTGAGGAAGGGTGTTACACTTAAATAAAGTTAGACCCAACTCAACCCATAATCATCCTTAAGTTCACTACACGATAGTTTATTAAAAAAATTCAAATTGTGGTATTTATTTTACTAAAGATTGATTTTTTTTTTTACATTTTGTAATGTAAATTTGTAATTTTGACGTTATCGGAGAAGGATAATGGTGAACAAAAAGTGACAACTTTTTAAAATTTCAAGACCAGACTGATTAAAAAATTTATTCAGGAACCAAAGTGAGAAAAGTTGCCAACTTTTGGGGGGGGGGGGCAAATATGGATTTAAACATAGTGACATTTAACTAATCCCCGGCCAAAACCCGGTCTCCATGTATTCCTTCGCCCACTTGACCTTTCAGTACTTCCCGTTCTATTTTCAACCAAACATTAAAGGGTGAAAAACAACTTGCCTGAAGAACCAATGAATTGATGGCATCTGCATATCTGACTGCTAAATTCAGCGACATGCACCTTGATCCTCCTTCTGTCAATGTTTCCCAGTTTATCCTGATGCCGGACAACCACCAACGCTAACATGGCTGCTACGCCTGACCCCAGAGAATGTCCTGCAAATGTCAAATTATAATTCGGATACTCCTCCACAAGTTCTTTCAAAACATCACACTCTGCATCCAAAACCCATCCAGCAGCTTTCAAGAGTCCATTATGAACATATCCACCATTGAATTTCCTTTTACCCAGCTTATTATCCAGAAGCACTTGGTAATCACTTTCTTTTGCCAAATTAAGACCTCTAATGGAAAGGACGATATCAGCATGATCATGATCGAGATATAGTACATACGAAGGAGCCTGTCCCTGAGTGTCTTCATAGGTTTTTCTGATAATTAACCAATCAGGGTTGATCCCATATCCGCCCGGTGGTTCCCAAAGGGGATGTCGAATACCATCTTCATAAACAGCTAGAATATAGCGACACATAAAAGAAACAGGCTCGAATTCTTCGGCGGTTGCAAGACCCCATGTCTCACTGTCATGGCCAGCAGTATGAAGGCAGAAAGAAGAGTTGCTAGACTACAACAAATGGAGTTGGAATTTCGAATTTTTGTTCTCCATGTGCAGATGATCGTTGATAAGAAAATAACAAAAACGACATGGACTTTAATTTATGGAAAGTTTTGGTAGAGATTGGGGTAATGCTGAGTTGTATCATGAAGATTTAAATTTACAGGCAAAAAGTTCAGTGTAGTAAGACAAGGCTCATCATTTGTAGGTTTTATAATGATAAAATTAACAAATAATAATAAGGGTAAACTACATATTTATTCACTAAACTTTTAGAATTATTTCACAATATCACTAAACTTTTAAAATTCTTTCACTTTAATCGCTAGATTTTTAATTGATTTTATTATTGTTAATAAATGTTGGCATGACACGTTAAAGTTTTTTTTAAAAAAATCTAAATTAATAGCTAACTTTTTTTTATAAAGAAAACGGTTTGTACTTGTATGTTAATCTCAATGGTGAGAAGGTTCTATTTAGTCAAAAAAAAAATTAACATAGTTTGATTTCAAGTTGATCTAACAATTGATATTGGGGAACCAGAAAGTTTACCTTCTAGTTTCGATTGATATTTGAGGATTTTAAAAGATCTTTTGTCAAGATAAAACTAAAAAAATAGATATGAAGAAGATAAGTAGTTTGGTTATCTTTTGTATAAAAAAAACTATTGAACGACAATAGAAACAATGATGAAAGGAGATAGAGATTAACTTAAAATCAAATTGTATTAACCTTCTGACTAAATGAATTCTTCTCGATATTGATTGACTAGGTATGCTCATGGGTTGAGTTTGGATCAGGTTTCGACCAACCTGATCCGACCCAAAAATTTTACATCCTTCACCCAATTGTATACCCCTATTGTTTTTCGGGTTATTAAGAAGCGTTATACGAACTTATTTTACGTACAAGTGGAGAACGCGAAGTTTGGAAACATAAGTCTTCCTTTTTATTCCACACAATTAAGGGAGGTTAAATTTTATGATTGGCATTCATATTATATACAAATTATGAATTTAGATCATATATTTTATCAATCATTTTTTGTTTCTATATTTTTCCGATTTTGGTATTAATTGAACCAAAATTTGAAAATTATACTGACTAAAATTGATCAAACTAAAGTATATGGACTAAATCCACAACTCATATATAGAACAAATAATAATCATAGAATTTGAATATCAAGGCAAAAATGATTTGACTATTAATCCACAACCCATATATATTTTTAAATTTTTATATAAAATTTATAGTTCTATTTAAATTATAAAATAAAAATATGTTACTAATAACACAAACTAAGAGATTTTGGGTTGGGCCAATTCCTCAAGCCATTGTTGTTCTCTTTATGTCCTTTAATTCAAGGGTTTTAAGCTCATTTTCAGCCCTGAACCCAAATTACAAACCCTAGAAACCTAGAGTTAGCAGTCAATATATTTGTTATATCACAAATTCAAAACCCTAATTTCATTTAGCTCCGCCTCAGATATTTCGTCTCGGCAGGTACATTCCTATGATCTCTCTCTGCCCTTTAACACATATTTAGTGTCTTTTCCTGGGTATTTTGGTCTGTTTGATTGAATGGGAAGCGAAAATCTAAGCTGAAAACCCATAAATATTTTGTTGTGTTCGTTATCTGCTGTGCGTTAATTGTTGGGTTTGTTTTGGCTGATATGATGTTAGCAGCACTGAGCTTGTCTTACAGGCTTTCTTTTTTTGTTGTTGTTGTTGATGTTTCTATGTGATATAGCTGGTTTTGAAGCCTTTGTTTCATTCCTTTTTATATAACTGTGTTATCGAGATATTTGGAGATTAATTTGCGCCTACATTGTCTTCGAGTAACTGTTTGATGCAAATATATTTTGTGAAAATTGAGGTGTTTATGGAGGAAAGTACTATAAATGAAATGTTTTGATTACTGTTTGAAGCAGGAGTTGATGAACTGAATGATCCGTCTTTCGACTATGAAGATCATTGAAATGTATTGTTTTTCGTTCTTTTTTATGTTTGGTTTTCTGTTTCCGAAGCAGGCATGGCTACCAAGCAGCCAAATACCGGCCTCTTTGTAGGACTGAACAAGGGTCATGTTGTGACCAAGAAGGAGTTGGCTCCACGTCCCTCTATTCGAAAAGGAGTGAGTACATATATTCCCATTTATGTAGATTATTTGTAATTGGGTATAACCCAAATCGTATTCACTTTGATTCATGTATGAGTTTCGGATAAGGGGACGTGTTTGACATATGTATGTTAAAATTTTAAAGCTTTTTTCGACCATAGGAAGATTGTGATGCTAGTTAGTAAATCACCATGTTAAATCTGTTATTCTTTTTTATCTATCTTTTTGAAATACTTGTTTCGGCCTAAAAGTCATTGTCCTGATTATTTTATTCAGAAAACAAGCAAGAGAGTCCATTTCGTGAGGAGCTTAATCCGGGAAGTTGCTGGTTTTGCACCATACGAGAAGAGGATCACCGAGCTTCTGAAAGTTGGTAAGGACAAGCGGGCTCTCAAGGTAGCTAAAAGAAAGTTGGGAACTCACAAAAGGGCTAAGAAGAAGCGTGAGGAGATGTCAAGCGTTCTTCGCAAGATGAGGTAATATCATATTACATCTCACACAAGCAAAGTATAATATATCGTCATCTGTTTCGACGGAGCCTTATCGCCGGGGAATGGAAATAAATATTGTTCTTTGTGTGATGTTGCTTGCAGGGCCCATGGTGGAGGTGCAGAAAAGAAGAAATAAACCTTTGTTTTCTCCGTTTCTGTCTGTTCGCTTGTTCGCTTTTACGAGCAGCCAGTGGTTTGTTTTGCATATGTTTTGTTCTTTGTTGCTCGAGATTGAAATCTGTTTGAAAACTTGTTTATTCGAATTAGATATGAGAGATTGGAAGAAGTAATTACTTCAAATTTTTGTTTTTTTTTTTGTTTAATTTATATTTATCGCCATTGTTATTCTACGTGCAAGTTTCTCTCGAATTAGATCACATATGGTAAATTCACTAAATTGTTAGTAAGGGATGACAATATTGCGCGAAATGCACAATTATACAAACTATTTTCAAACCTAATGTCCTGGAACGTTTGTAGTACGAGTTAATTACATAAGACTTCTTTAATGTCTATTTTTTAATTGTAAATTATGTGTTTAGTATCTAAACTATTAGTTTTGTTATGTTTTAGTACTTAAAATTTTATTTTTTTCAAAAGCATACTTAAAGTTTAGTTTTTGTTTTATTTGAGTTCATTCGTTCAAAATTTAACAATACTAACAGAAACGCTCAACTCTGATAAATAATATGACGTGGGATTCTTTTTTTCATTATAATGTGAAACTACTCGGCTCATTTCATATAATTTTTCAATCGAGTCACTGATAATTGTGTCTTAACAAAAGACATATCCGAAAATACAAATATATGCCTCTACCGTCTTTAGTGCAAAAGGAAGAGACAGAGGGGAAAACAGAGAAACTAATTTCTCCGCCGCACAAGCGCCATGCTTTCCGCCGGAATAAGGCGTAGTTGTTCGATATCGGAGGTCGTCAAATAAGGGGGAGAACGAGCGAAGCCCATCCGACATATGATGTATATTTCATTCCACAATCTAAAGTAAATAAAACTGGTAATATAGATATTCCCGTATCTTGTAGTAATAGTCGCACAAGGGGCCTTCTATTACAATTTGCTGTGTAC